ATCCGGCCCTCCGCACGTGACTGATTCTTATGCTCAGGTAATTTCTCAGTACATAGTAGGGAACCGCCAACTTTTTGCGCTTGCTGATTGAATGGGGGCGTGAGTACCATGACTCGAGCAGCTCTCGGCTCACGCGGTTGTCATCTCTTGCGACGTAGTTGCACTGTCCACAACTGCACCAGATTCGGTAAATGACTCCAGCTGTTTCCTGCGTGGCAGTGGGTCTTTCGGTCTCATGACCCGGTGCCTGATGGTTGCTCCTGGCCTGTGTGCAACTCCAACTCCGAGTGGGGTGAGCAGACGGCTGACCACTTCCCATGCATTCTTCACGTACAGAAGAACTCGCCAAACTTTTGGGCCAGTTGGATGTTGTTTCTTCTCTCGTCTGCGTATCTATTGGTTGACAAAATTGCGCGGGTAACCATCCGCTCTCAGTACTCGTCGAAGATATTTTAATTCAGCAACTTTGTCTTCCAATTCGCTGCAATGCGTCTCAACGCACCGGTAAAGCGCTCTTACGCAGCTGCGTTTGTGACTAGTCGGGTGGTTGCTGTTGAAGTTCAGGACTTGCATAGTTTTGGTAGCTTTCCCAAACACTAAGTTTCTAGGCCACCATCGTCTTTGCGGCAAACGAGGACATCCAAGAAGGTTAGCTGGTTGTTTTCTTCCTCCATCGTAAATTGAATGTCCAGGAAGACGGCGTTTAGATGAGCCTTGAATGTCAGCACTTGATCCCGCTCAAATACGACGAAGGTGTCGTCCACATACCGAACCCGGAGTTTCGGTCTGTGGCGGCGGAAAACCAGTGACTCCAACCGTTGCAAGACCGCTTCGACCATGAGTCCGGAAATTGGCGAACACATGGGCGTGCCCTTCACCTGCTCGTAGGTAGTTCCGTTGAAGGTAAATTACGTCTAGAGGCGGAACTTTAGGAGCTGAAGGATTTGAACGTGCCCGAGGCGCTTCACCGTTTCATCGTATTTCTCTCGTAGGAGTAGTTTGATAGTCTTGACTGCCAGGTCCTGTCGAAAAAAAGTAAAAAGGGACGTGACATCAAAGGATATCATGGTATCGTTTGGCAGGAGGCTTACCCCTTTAAGTTTCTCCGAGAATTGTGTTGACGTCCTGACTATTTTGTCTGAATGAGTGGTCAAGAATTTTAGCCGTCGGAACAGCCACTTTACCAGTCCGTAGGTTGGAGTTCCTTTTAGAGATACGATTGGCCAGAGGGTTGCGCCCTCTTTGTACACCTTGGGAGACCATAGAACCGGGTCAGGGCTGTTTCTTGCGCTTTCACAATGCGTCGGTCGATTAGCGATATTGCACGTGAGTTCTCCATTGCCGACAGCATTGTTTTGATCTCGCATGTCAGCGTTTTTATGGGGTTGGATTTGCGTGGGATGTAGGACTGGCGATCGTCTAAAAGAGTTTGAGCTTTGTGAATGTAGTCTGTTCTGTCCAATAGGACAGTGGACCGCCCCACGTTAGTCACGTGGGAAGGGCCGGACGCAGCAACAACTCAGACGACAACGAGCATAATTGTCGTGCAATTAACAAGCAAGCATCCAACACGGACAAGGAAATCACGGCCATTACTCATTCGAACATGAAATGTCAAGCCATTACCACACCAATTAAGATCCCAAGCGGTGACTACGGGAGACGGACGGATACTTATAGTACGCACGTGGATGACTGCTACGAACTATAAATGCCGTGCAACCTGTGCATGTTTCATCCTTATCTGCCCATGGCTCCGATTATCGTACCATTACCTATGACTAAGGATTCCCGATGGAATCCGGAACGTCAGGAAAATAAAACTCTTGTTCCAATGGTCGCATCTTCTTCACTTCAGGATGCCGGTTTCTAAACGAGTTTCCTTCTGGCAACCTCTTTAAAAATGGCTACCTAGGTGGTATGCAGTTTTGTCATCCAGTTTCGATGCCATTAGAACTTCAAATATATTTAATAGGAAACATGCCCTAAATGTTCTTTCTTTTTTGAACCCTACTGACCGTTACACGTGAAGTCGAGGTTTCCAAACTCCATGCTTTATGGATTCCGTCTACCATAAATCTCACCTTTTCTACGCTGCGAAGCTGAAGTTACCTAGATCTCATAAAATTTTGCTATGGATGTGAATCTGGTTGTACACTATAGACAACATTAATAAGTTAACAGATATGATGTACTAGGAATGAAAATTCACCGCCCTTAAAAAACTCATAATTAAACCTTGTAACAATCGGAAGGTATACATTCCTCAAGAATAAATCATAAAAAGCGCAGTTTCTTACCGAACAAGAACCAGAAGGAGTAGTTTCTTCACGATTTCTCTAAACTGTATTTTAATTTATAAGGACAGTAAAAATAAACCAGAAGAATTCATGCTACTTTAGTAGACATTTTTGCAGGATATGATTTATGGAGCCAATCAAAGACAGGCTTGTTTCAATGCCGGCGTCCTGGCGCGGAGGAAATATATTGAGATTAGTTTGCGCGATAATCAATGCTAAAACCCCTTTTAAGTAGTTTGTTCTAATCGAAAACATTTCAGAATCTCGATGGACATTTCACCAGATAGGGAAGCTACTATAGTTAGTCCAACTAAACTTCATTGAGGGATTTCTCCTGCCTGTCTCTTGGTTTGCGCACGTGCTTGCTTGCTCCTGCTTGAACGACATTTCCAACGGGGAATGAAAGGTCTATTTTTTGGCGCACCTCGGAGTCCTTCTCTTTTTTGCGATCCCCTGATGCTACGTCTTCTTTCCAGCACACACACCTTTTTCCAGGCCTTGCTTCCACTATTCCCACTCTGCATTTCCTTATACAAGGCAAATGTTTATCTCTTCTTTCATTACATCGGCTTGTGGCCTGGAGATTTTCAAGGATACTCACCTGCTGACTAGTAGCCAACGTTGCAACCTCCTTATGAGGTCATTACAACTTTCTAGTTAGTCTAGCATTCGGAGCAAGGACCAGCACTTGTCGAGATTTTTACATGCGTAGAGAAAGCTTTACGCGCAATAACGAGAATGGAGTTGGAATAGGCCTTTTTGCATTGTAATTCCACCTCTCACCCCCCCCTCCCTATCTCTTCTTTCCACTACATAGGTCTTTTTTCAGACCTTCTCTTCATTGGTATTCTTCAGATGCATTCGGAAGGCTTAGTATGCTGATTTACAAGGTTTTGGTGTGCCAGCTGTTGCTGTTTTTTTTT